GCGAGCTTTCAAGGTTTCACTCGCAGATCAGTCTGGATACTTTCCGTTAAAGAAAATTTGGGAGCAGTTCACCAAACGAACGTCCAATCAGCGTTGGCTTTGAGGCGGGTTGAGGTGTGACGCAACGAGAAGCGCGTCAGTTCAGTCTAAAGAACATGTCGGCTTCAGCGGATGAAACTAGCATCAGCGTGGCTATCGAGCAAGTTTTATCGGAATTACAGAGTATTTCTTCACTGAAAGAAGAGCAAAACACTGCTCTGGAGGCTTTTCTCAGAGGAAAAGATACGCTCTGTTAGTACGTCATATGCTTCGTTGATCTGATTGGTTGATTTGGCCCGTCTATCACCAACATAGGCCAATCAGCTAACCAGTATTTTCGCCCCTTACCAAAACTACTTCAACGGAAGGTTTCCAGATGGATATGCGGAGCAAATCCATCTGGCGGAGTCAGGTTACGATTCTTTTCGATACCACGTCAGTATCGAAGTATCGATACTTTAGGATCGATCCGCCCATCACTATAATGCAGCCACGACCCAAAATGGAGTGGCCGCTACACCTCGGGTATGCATTATTTTCTAATAATTCAATGGACCGGAGTCAATTATTCCGCTACTATATGGTTACCACACATGATCAAAACATTGTTCAGATGTTATATTTCAAGACATTTGTCTTTTTTGTCTTTGAAATGCTTTTGAATGTAGGAAAAAGTTCTTACGCATCTCATCCCAAGCTTTCGTTCCAAAATTTAAATTTAAAGCTATACAGAGGCTTGAGCCATTGAGAGAGAGAGAGAGAGAGAGATTAATTGTGTTTGAATTACCTGAGTTTGTGCGTCTCTCAACAGTCTTCGACAAGCAAAACTGTAAGTTTATCTGCTTCAAGAACAGCACCGTTGTTACCTCGCTAATGTCATGTAGTTTTTAAGTTGCTAAACTTTGTTACTGATACAATTGTTGGAGAAGCACTGATAAAACGTTTCTGTGCGAGTACGTGTCCGTATTGTATACTTTACTATTGCATACATAATAAAATGTCATTGTGGCAAAAAACATGGAAATAATTTGTTGTTTTTATCCTATTGTTTACATAATTTGCTTAGTCAGTGTCAATGTGGGTTTTGGTTCTTTTGCTGTATGCTGTAAGGACCTTTGAAATAACTGAAATCATTTGGCAAATTGATATGGAACTGTAATGCGGTCCAGACCTGCCTGGAACTACTATATCCGTGCGTTTCCCTGAAAATAATTGCACAAATACACAGTTTGTCAACCATTCAGATTCAAGCATTCAACAGCCCCGTAGTATAGGCTATAGTAAAAGCCTGTTCACACCAAGGATGATAGCTTTGATAACTATGATATAGTTCTAAAGAATTCTTCTAAATATAAAATAATAACTAATTCAGAACGATTTTTTCCCCAGCTGATGAACGATGAAAACATTGACAGCCAATCAGAATTCATAATAATTTAAAGGTTCTCTAAGCGATCCTGGGTGACGTCACTTCTTGTTGACGTTCGAACTATTGTCAAACAAAACGGAGGCTAGCTAGACCCTCCCTCCTCCTCATCCGCACACTAGCCCCCCAAACCCTTCTTGTCGGTCATTGGCTGGAACAGTTTGTTATGTTTTGGGGAGCGGGTCGCCGCAGTTTGCTTTTGTTACTGTTTGTGGAGCCTGGGCTGTCTACAGAGATCGCGTTTCTTTACAGTGTGTTCAGGGGACAGGCAGCCAGCGGTTAGTGAGGAGATGTTTGCTGTATGTGACAAAAAATGTTTTGGCCTAAAAAACGCGTGACATCGCTTAGAGCACCTTTAAAAAGAGCTCAATCATTTAAAGCGGCAGACGACTGAGTCACTGTGTAACAAATAACTTACTCTTATTTGTCCCAAATGTACCAGTGTGGTGGAATGGATGCATGAATTTGTTTACTAAATGCTGCTTGTTCACGGTGAAGCTGTTTATCTTTTGTTCCTATTTTTTTGTTTTTCTCCATGTCATACCACACATTAAATAATAGACATTCTTAGATTCAATCGTCGCACGTTGTTGGCGGTTCATTATTAGTAACTCAGTCAATAGCTTGACAACATGGCTGGTCATGTGAAGTTAATATGGCAGCACCCATGAGGGGGCGACCCACTCCAAATAGAAATAAACAGGTTTTTCTAGAAGATTTTCTTAAGGCCCGGTCATACAATAGTGATAACTAGCATCCACACCAACAGGCGATAATGTTCTGTTTATTATGAGCATGTTTTGCAATTATGTTTTGAATGCTGCCTTGAATGTCATTTGGATTCTGATTGGCTGTTAATGTTTTTATCATTAATCAGTTGTATAAAAAAATGTTCTGATGTAGCTAGCAAATTGTTTGTGTGTAGGCTACCTTTAAAGTGGCATTAAACGGAAGTTACGATGGGTCTTTTCTTTCCTATTGTGACATACACTATATTGCCAAAAGTTTTGTGACGTCTGCCTTTACATGCACATGAACTTTAATGACATCCCATTCTTAATCCATAGGGTTTAATATGGAGTTGGCCCACCCTTTGCAAGCTATAACAGCTTCAACTCCTCTGGGAAGGCTTTCCACAAGGTTTAGGAGTGTGTTTATGGAAATTTTTGACCATTCTTCTAGAAGCGCATTTGTGAGGTCAGGCACTGATGTTGGACGAGAAGGCCTGGCCTACTCCGCTCTAATTCATCCCAAAGGTGTTCTATCGGGTTGAGATCAGGACTCTGTGCAGGCCAGTCAAGTTCCTCCACACCAAACTAGCTCATCCATGTCTTTATGGGCCTTGCTTTGTGCACTGGTGCGCAGTCATGCTGGAACAGGAAGGGGCCATCCCCAAAGTGTTACCACAAAGTTCGGAGCATGAAATTGTCCAAAATGGCTTGGTATGTTGAAGCATTAAGAGTTCCTTTCACTGGAACTAAGGGGCCAAGCCCAACCCCAGAAAAACACCATAATACCCCCTCCTCCAAACTTTACACTTGGCACAATGCAGTCAGGCAAGTACGGTTCTCCTGGTAACCGCCAAACCCAGACTCGTCCATCGGCTCGCCAGACAGAGAATGTGCGTGATTCGTCACTCCAGAGAATACGTCTCCAGTGGCGGCGTGGTTTACTGCATCCGAAGCTTTGCATTACACTTGTGATGTAAAGGTTGTATGCAGCTGCACGGCCATGGAACCCCATTCCATGAAGCTCTCTACGGACTGTTCTTGAGCTAATCTGAAGGCCACACGAATTTGGAGGTCTTTAGCTATTGACTCTGCAGAAAGTTGGTGACTTCTGCACACTGCATACCTCAGCATGCGCTGACCCCGCTCTGTGATTTTACGTGGCCTACCACTTTGTGGATGAGCTGCTGTTGTTCCCAATTGGTTCCACTTTGTTATAATACCACTAACAGTTGACCGTGGAATATTTTGTAGTGAGGAAATTTCACGAATGGACTTATTGCACAGGTGGCAATCACGGTACCACGCTTGAATTCACTGAGATCCTGAAATGGATGAGAGACCCATTCTTTCACAAATGTTTGTAGAAGCAGTCTGCATGCCTATAGGTGCTTGATTTTATACAACTGTGGCCATGAAAGTGATTGGAACACCTGAATTCAATGATTTGGAGGGGTGTCCAAACACTTTTAACAATAAAGTGTTTAAGTTAAACAGCTTGGGTGGGACTTGATTTTGTCCATCGGGAATTAAGTGCAACAGTCGGATTCCAGAATTAAAAACCCCATTCATTTTCTTCATAGGGAAATTGATTTTTAACGATAACTTATAAACCTTTACTGTGAGCTATACGAGTTTGTTAATTTATAGTATTTGCTTCTGAAGATGTCAGCTCACATTTTTCAACGTAGTTAAAAATAATTGTTTAACAGCTGAATTTGTGGTGAAAAACTACATTATCCATGATGCTGTACATAAAATTCCACCAAACAGAGAGTCGAAAACAAGCAAACCCAAAAGATCTCTTAGCCCCGCCCACTCCCATGAAGCACTGCAAATGACGTAATCGAGTAACTCTCAAAATGTGTAGTTTTATATTTCATCATCATTTTTAATTTGATTATGCTGTTTGCAATGCTTCATGGGATTGTAGTTTTTTCCCTCACTAAAGCTGTTAAGTACACAGTCTTGTATCTTTGTATTTTTGTCTAATTTTCAAATACTTTTTTGTTTCAAATGAAAGTTTGTAATGTTATGATTCATCTCATTGCTGGTTGGCTTGGTTAATGGCTTATAACACTTTCAATATTTAGTTTTTTTTTAAATCTAAAAGCCCCTCAAAAAAAGTGGACGGGCACTGTTGCACTATATTGATTGTGGTTTGCTATTGCTGGGATATCGTGTGAGTGACAGGTTGCCCTGTCCACCCGCCAGTAAACACGTCATCAGAGAAGAGAAGAAATTGCTCTGCAAGACGAGGGAGGGGAAGTTATATTAATTAAATATTATGACGACACATGGATTTTAAAAAATAATGATGAATAATAATAAATCACTTGGAATAAATACGGCAATATTCCAAAAAAGAAAAGAAAAAAGATTTGTCAGTTTTGATTTCAGGGTGACTTTAACACAAATAAAAAGTTCTGGTTTGGCTAGTTAGTTAGATCCTGCTGTTACAGGCCTGGTGAGTAAGGAAAAAAATATTGTTATTCCCTTTAATAGACTTTAATTTCCTGATCTATAAAATAAAAGTTACTGATAGACACACAATCAAACAGACAAGTCTTAACAGAGTTCAAAAGTGTCACATGTAGATGCCACTATTAAAGAAACCTTTTGTTTTTATTCCTCACTTATTATAGCAACTCACTTGAAATAACAGGATTATCTGGTTGTATTTAGCCTGAAGTGAGGGTTGGTTAACTTATTAGTCAGCAATAGAGACAGGAAGAGAAAGGCTGTCAGAGAGGGAGGGAGAGAAGGGACAGCCGTGGCTCAGAGGGGGTTACACACACACATGCGCGCGCGCACACACACACACACACATCACTCGGGTGAGAGAAGCAGATAGGAAAAGAGAGGAGGGGGAAAGGAAGGACAAAAAGAAGGGGGACACTGCACTGTTTGTTTTCGTTTTTATTACTTCGAATAAGAGAAAAGGAACGCTGCCGTTTCTCTTTAAATGCACGGTTAAATCATTGCAAACGGCTTCCATTTTTATTTAAAGGAAAACAGTAGGCCACGAGGAAGACGCTGGAGTTAGAAGTGATTTGAGCGTTTGTGGCATTACTTTCTAAAGCAAAAGGAGACACGCGGTTTGCAGTCCTGTAAGTGTTTAGCGGCTTTATAGATTGGTACAAGACCAAGCGAAACAAGCAATTAATATATAGTTACTTCATATGACTTTAGAAATTTTATCAAGTAGTTGCCAAATGTCATTGAGTTCCGCGAGAAGGAATAAATAGCTTTATTAGTGGCCTTTTAAATCACACTGCTCAACAAACACGGGGAAGAAAACCCGATCTTCTTTACCAGCCGGTTATTCACAGCATATTTGCGGACTATGGCGGCGGTAACAAGTCCAGAATCGAGCCAACCAGCTCGCGTTTACTTCCAGACGCCCACCGGTTCAACCGAAGAAGCCGAGACCCCGGCCCGCAAGCAAGGACGGGTCACAGTGAAATACGACCGGAAAGAACTGAGAAAGAGACTTAATTTGGAAGAGTGGATTATTGACCAGCTAACGGATCTCTACGACTGTGAGGTAAGACTCTTTGTGAAAGCTTTACTAAATAAAAGTAAGAACTATTCATCTTTTGGGATTGCATTGGATTAGTTTATTTACTAAACAAAAAGAAATGATAAAGTCACCAGTTCAAGAGCTTATTCATAGATAAATGCTCTTTGTAACGGCAGTAGTAGTGATCAAGTTATCCTACGCAGCCACCGTAACATCATTACGAGCGAATGTGTAGAATGTAAGTAGCCTATGTGTCAATCAATCTGCAGTTGACCCATATTTTACTTCAAGAGCGCATTAGTTACTACGTTTAGGCTATTTCGACTTTATCTACCTCCCGTAACACGCGCTGACGTCACGTTCGAAAATGTCGGTGAGAAGGTTAACCTGATGAAACTAGTAATAGTTAAAGATTTTAATAGCGCGCAATTTAAACATTAAAGCCTATCAAGTATGTAAAAGGTGGGTGTTGATGAGAATGACTATATGCCGTCTCGGGGGTGCTGTCGCTTCATTCTGATTATTGAGATTCATTATAGGGATTTGTTTCCGTTCACTAAAAATTCATTTAGTGACCCGTTCTGCAAGCTACATCGTTACACCAGTAGGTGTCGAGAAGCGTGTCCCCCGCGTCCAAATTTATGCGTACTTTGCTCTACTAGAAGCCTACATACTAGCTATGCATAAATCAGTACTTTTGGCAGTATTCATAAAACAGAAGTCAAATGATGGTTGTATAATGTATATCCACAGAGAATCTAGTTGGATCCACTGATCTATATAGAATGACAGTCATTATATAGATCAGTGGTTGGATCAGAATTACCATACTTTTAGAATTCGACGAATGAATACAAACGTTATGTGATGTCCTGTGACCTTTTATTTGACATGTGACGTAGCTACTTACAAAATATAATTTCACAAAAGTAATTCACTCAGGTGTTGTACAATTTAACAATGAGGAACAATTCTCCTGGCACCTGAGTCTTACTTGAAAAGACAGGGGGGGTTTTCAATGCAATTTTCTTCTCAACTCCCATGACCTTTTTCCCAAACGTTTTGTTTGCCTTGTGGCTCTTCTTTAGTGTAAATAAAAAACAAAACAAATATGCATTAAAGATGAATTTAAACAGGCCAACTGGTTGTAAAGGCTTGTTTTACATAGTCTTCATGTACATGAAGTCAAAAATGAGTGTTGAGACTGATCATAAACCTGTCTTATGAGGGAACATCCAGCATTTTAACAAAAGAGATGCACGTGTGGTTTTGCATATTCCTCATGTCTCTTGTATGTACCCTCCCCCAATCTATAACCACACAGCCAGACACAAACATGCACTTGCTTCCAAACGTTATCCAAACCCAACCAATGTTAAATCCGCTTTGCCAACTTTCCTAGCTTTTTAGTAAACAATAGTGCGTGACGTGGTGGTCCCTTGAGAGTCTTAATCCTTTTCATTTAAAACTACTAAAATTGTCAGAAGCCAGATAACCAATTTTGCCGTGGAAAGCCAGCGTGGCATACTGCCATCGAGAGAAGCAATCAAGTCATTATAATCTCACTTTCTGCACAGCAAGTGGTTGGTTTCCCTGGATGAGTGTGTAGTATTTTAAAAAGACCAGACAGAAATGCTTTAGTAACAATGCTACAGATGGCGTTCAGGAAAATTGCTGCGGATAATAAAAGGGAGGAGAAAACAAAAATACTGACTAGGAGGGTAAAACATGAGGGAAGAAAATCATTTTTCAAGCTCAGCAATTGTGTTTTCAGAGAATGATTGACTAATGACTGAGACATCATCGCTTGATTGGAGTCTCTTTGAAATCAAGAACTAATGGCAGTGTTAAATGAAGTTAAAAAAAAGAGGATGCAAAAATCAAGGGAGAAGTAAACAGACAGTCATTGATGGAGACTAACAGACGGTCTGTGAAAGAGTTGGAGGGAGGGAGGTATAAGAGAGGGACAGCTGTGGCTTTGGCCAGGAACACAAGGATGGCGTTGAGTGTTTTTCCTCCTTCCTCTCATTAACACTCACACAGTGTGTTACACTTTGCTACATACAACTACACTTTTTAACACGTGATGTCACATGAAATTGCAAAATAAATCTGATTTGGACTAGGTTTAAATGAACGAGTCATGTGTGTACATCTGTACACTGTGACATGGTTGAGCAATAGTTTGTCCACAACTCATGTTTGCTACCAGTTCGTTCACTTTGGAATGAATCAGCAAATGTGTACAAGAAGGGAAAGGCAAATAAATGAAAAAAAGAGGGGATGAAGGATATTCTGACAGGCTTCGGAGGAGAAGGAGAGGCATAATTGCAGTTTCTGGGATTATCGGGTTGATGCTGCATAATGGAGACTGCCGAGCCGTGAGTCATGACCGAAGGAAATGCCAGTGACAGGCGAAACTGCAGGAAGTGTGTGTGTGTGTATATGTTGAGACTCTGATGTTTTAAGAAGGCAGTAAAGGTCACAGCAGTCCCGTGACCTCAGCTTTGGAGCAGTCCTTTTGTGTGTGCGCGTGCCGCGCAATGATGAACCGTGTCAGGATGTTGAGCCGCTCTTTATTTGCTTTGTGTTGAGTTCTCTTATCTCCTTCCTTCCTCACTCTCAGACCTTATTTGAATACTTCAGTTCCTCACCTGCTAGCTGCTGTCAAGCATCCCCTTTCCACCTGTGTGAAAGTGTGTGTACTGTATGTTTCTGCGTGCATCTGTGTTTTAGTGTGTAGGGGAAGCAGGTTCAGGCATGTCCTATATTCAGAATTTTAAAAAGCAGCTTTGCATGTCTGTTAGAGATTTGCAAACACACACATACACACACACACACTATATGCGACTTATTCTACACTACCGTTCAAAAGTTTGAGGTCAGTATGATTTAAAAATAAAACGAATGCTTCAGCAGCACAACTGAACATTTGATTTTATTAAGAAATGTTTCTTGAGCAGCAAATCAGCATATTACAATGATTTCTGAAGGATCATGTGACACTGATCTAAAGGTGCTGAAAATTCAGCTTTGTCATCACAGGAATAAATTACATTTGACAATGTATTAAAATATAAAAGTTATTTTAAATTGTAATAATAATTTTTTTTAAAAAATTCAGTTTTTATTGTATTTATGATCAAATATAAGCAGTCTTGGTGAGCATAAGAGACTTCTTTCAGAAACAGTAGCCTAAAAAAATCTTCTGACTTTTGAACTGTAATGTATGTAGTAATAATACAGGGAGTTGGATCTCTGCATTTGTCTCAAAATATTCTCAGTTGCTGTTGACAGTTTTGAGGTCAATACACTCCCTTTAAGTAAAAACAGAATTTCTCAGAATCTGTATAAATGAAGATGAATCATTCAGCTGAATAATAATGCCACATATTACCGGCAGGTATTTGGAGATCGTGAATAAGCCCAAACCTTATGTTTCCATGATTTGTCATGTTTTGACATGAATTTTCTGTAGCAAAAACACTTGATTTGTTTTTAACTTTTAATTTTGATTAATTTCAGTTTATACTCTTGACAGATACCGTATAACATCAAATTGCACTTCCTGGATAATCATATCATGCACCGTCTCCCAATTCACATACTGTACATCCTAAAGAGTAGAAACGGTTTACTTGCTGTTATTTTTAGACTTTTCAGTCGATAAAGTGTCAAGAAACATGAGGCAGAAGTTTAAAAAAAAAAGTTAATAAATACTCTGTAATGAATTTAAGCTAAAACTATGCATATCAATAGTTTAAAGATGTTATTTTATAATGTAGTAGAATGACCCATTCTCAAAAGTATCCAGCGAAGTATTTAATTTTAGTTCTTAGTACAAGTGTGAATTTGGATGCAGCCATTGTCTCAATTTGCTTAGCATCTAACATTCTGTTTACATAACTGTATTTACACACCCGCTAATCACAGATCCTGATTACAGAGAGGGAGAGATGAGTATACACTAATGCTGATTGACTAGTTATTTTCCTCACTGTAAGCCTAAGAGTTAGCAACCTGTTAAGTCAACTTCATCTTGTGTGAATGCTTATGATGCTGTTCTGTTCGCGAAAGTGAACAACAAACCATTTTAAATGGTCCTCAGTTATAGACCGAGACTTATTGATCTCAACGTGACTTTCAGGATGACTTCAGATCTTGTCTTTTCTGTTGGTCACTCAGTGATCCTTATGTAAAACGGCTCTGATCCGGCTGGAAATAACCTTTTGTGCACAGCCTAATTCAAGAGCGGAGGATTCAGCAAAGTGAACTAAGTTAACTTCTCCAAACAGACAGACTGTCTGGCTCTTTAGCTTAATCCAGTTAAGTAATTCTGTGTTGCTTCGGAAGGTTACTGTAGGTTGAAGCCATGAGAGCCTATAACAGTATTGGAGTGCACTATTAATATAGGCTATTTGATATTAGGGTCACAATTGTTGACTAATAACAGATTAGTCGATTTATGTTTTTCCCCTTTTTTGTGTTGAAATTTTGATATCTTTTGCATGCCTTGCTGATGGTATTAGCCATACAAAGATTGTTACAGCAGATCCTTTGGTGAGTTTTTTTGCATCTGCCATAATCTTTGAATTTTTTAGATGGCTTATCAAAGAAAAAACACGCAATTTCTCCATTCTGTTCTATCCCAACCGGTTTTTTTTTTTTTTTTTTTTTTTTTTTTTACATTACATTTTGTCACCTGATGTGTGTTTGTGAATGTGACAAATGTGTTTAGAGAGCCGGAGGGGACATGCAAGACTGCCTTTATCTTAAAATTGAACCTCTAAATGAAGACGTAAAACAAAAAATCAGTTTTCATCCTGTCTTAAACTCCAATCTCCACATCAAAAATGCATGTGCAGGGCCTGAACTCCACCTGTGACATCATCACCAGTCATATATAAGGTCAAAGGGTGTACTCGCAGCAATACGCTTCAGTCCTTTAATGATGCAGAAACACTTTCATTAGTCTAAAGGGCTTTGTGATAATTACCGCTAGAAACCTGTAATTACAGAAACTA